CACAAGCCCCACCCCCGCCGACACTTCCGGTCGCCGACAACAACCCTCGCTCTTCTTCTTGTTCAATTCCTCGGCTCCTATCCGAAACCCTATCTTCTAAAGGCGGCGAGGACACGAAGAGGTCCTTAAGCTTGTGCCGAACCTTCGCGACCTCCTTGCTCTTCTGCGGCCGATCATCGTCGTCGTCTTCGTCGTCGCCGTTGATTACTGGAGGGTCGGAGTTGCTTCGGCTAGTAAATCGGCGGCGGTCGGTGCGGGAGAGGAACATTCTTAGGGTTTTGCGGCGGCGGAGGTGAATGACTGGGCTGGCGGATGGGCTCCGGGTGGGGCTTCCGGCTACGGCGCATTGGGCGGCTAAGAGCTTGAATTTCTGCAAGGTCGCCATGAATTTGGAGAAGTTTTAGTGTAAATTCGTTGTTAATTGGAGAGAGAAGGCGAGATCTGATCTGAGGAGGCCATGGGAGGATCAGGATGGGATTGCTTTATTCACTGTTCGGAGTGAGCAAGTGGAGCTGAAAAATGCGTTCTTTTTAAGAATATTTTAATATTTTATTGGGTAGAGATAGAGAAGAGAGAAGAGAGAAGAGAGAAAAGAGAAGAACTGGAAGTTGATATTGGAGGGTGGGGCTCTGGAGAAACAAATGAGTGAAGAAGAGGAAGAAGGAAACGGCTTTATGGATTCTTCTGTCTTGTGTAACTTTTGCTTTCGGTCATGGGCCTCTTGGACTCTTTGGCTTCTTCTTGGGGCTATTTGGGTTGCAGGCCATCTATGCTTCCACGTGGCGGCCTTTGAGGGGATGTTTGCTTGTTGATTGGAATCTTAGAACAGATGAGTCGGCTGAAGCCAAGAATTTTGTTCTTATTTTGGGGACGGATTTGTTGAATTGATTTTGATATTCTTGTTTGTTTTTAAGTCTTGCTTTTGGTTAATGATGACGAAAGGAGAGTTGGAAACCGAATTTGGCTATTGTTGGATCTCAACCAATCAGTAATGTCACGCGTTTTCCTTAAGACCCAAATATTAACTCATCGTGTCGAAATATATAAACACAAATTAATAGCGCATTTACTAATAATTTCATGTCGTATTTACTTTTTTTTTACTGTGTTGACAAAATGTATTAAAAAAATATATCTTTTAATGCACTAGAAACTTATTTGTACTGCCTTACAAAACAAATGTCCACGCATATTATTAAAAAGAATATAAATAAAAGATGAATTTATAAGCTTTAGAATTTTAAAAAATAAAATTAACTTTCACAAAGAAAGTGTGTCACTATCATATTAAACATGTTTCAAAAATTAACAATGACTGGTTAACAAATGTCCTTTTGTGTCAAACCGTTATACATCCAACTCGACATGACTAAAGCTAATATAAATATATTTAATTTTTAGCGTTGATCTGCCATAAACCCTAAATTCTAAATTTGGAGTCCTAAACTTGCTAAACCATTCTAAATTGTGTCTTAATAAATTTCTTAAATTCAAACCTTCCCCCCATAAGTGATTCTGGTTCTCAAAATCACTCCCAAATGAGTCCTTAGTCAATTCATACAACAAAATTGAGGAAGGCTTCTTCTCTTTGGGAAGTAGTGAACTTGCCTATACAAAGATAAAATATAATTGCATATTTACATGATGTTTTTTTTGGTTGCTTTATTCAAATAGATATGCTCAAATAATTGTAAGTTGATTGTGCATATATAAATAAATGTATAATTATACATAATTGTATAGAAGAAAAAAAATGGCAAAACCAAAACCCAAAATATCGTAGTGACGTAGTGACAACAAAGGCCATCTCTGCCGCGCCTTGTAGCGAAGAAAGTATTGTACCAAAAGTTAGTCCACCATCCGCGTACGACAATGGTGCTTTCCTGCATTTACAACTTAAAAGTTACAAAATCAACCCACCATGAGATTTTGTTGAACTCTGAGTCTGAGCTTCCACCATCACCAGTTGGGTTAAATAGTTTTGTCCCATCTCTTATAAACCTGTTAAGTTGAAGAACAAAAATTAAAGGAGGAAAAAAAATTCATTTTTAAATGTCAAGATTTACCAAAAAAACCATGTGTTTGTGATATATTGAAACTGATTATAAGAAAAAAAAAAAAAAAAAAAAAAAAAAGGAAAAAAAAAAAAAAAAAGAAGGAAAAAGAAAAATAGAAGAAGGTAGTTTTGTACATAAAAAAGAAAAAGAAAAATAGAAGAAGGTAGTTTTGTACATAAAAAAACATTCCAAGTGCTGACAGCTTCATTAATTTATGTACATTGGCTGGCTTGGATCAAATAGTGATGCCACTTTAGTATATCTTCTATCAACATCAAAAGAAAACAAAGCATATAGAAAGACAATGAAGTTTGAATCCAGTCCAGAGGATCTGATTATGAGTATACAATACTTTTTACCATCTATTTTAGAACTGAAGGCTGAAGCTCACCAAAAAGCAGAAAAGAGGAGGATGTGGGAGGATATGGAAATCTGAAGTGCTAAAAGGAACTAGGTGGGGTAGAGCTGCTAACCAATTTATCAGTTCCGGCTGAGTCTGGTGAGAGTGGGGGAGGCATGTTCCTCAAGAGTCCAACGTCATCCGCCCTGATATCCAGCACAACTGCTTGACCGTCTTCTGAACCAAGATCTTCATTCTGGATTGCTCTCAAACCATCTAACACTTCGTCCATGGTTGGCCTCATGTCCCTCTCCTGTTGCAAACATCGGAAGGCCAATTCTGCCACTGCTGTTGCCATCCCCCTAACAACATGGTTTGTTTCGAACTCAAGAAGAGGATCAACCAACTCATTCACTAGATGATTTTGAATTTTGTTGATAGCCATGTTGGCCAAATTTATATCGTGCCGGTGCCTATTGGTATCCACTGCTTGTAGTGATGATATGAGCTCGATCAAGACCACGCCAAAGCTATATACGTCACTCTTGTCCGTGAGTTGATAGCATTGATAATACTCAGGATCAACATAGCCGGGGGTCCCTTGTGGAGCAGTTGAAACATGCGTGACATCGTTGGGGAACAATCTTGAGAGCCCAAAATCAGCGACCTTCACACAAAAGTCGTTGTCTATGAGAATATTGTTGGTCTTGACATCACGGTGTATTACATCATTGCGGTGAAGGAAAGCCAGTGCATCAGCTGTCTCTATGGCAATGCTCAATCGAACAGGCCAACTAAGAAACCCGGATTCAACTCTTTTCCCATGGAGATGGTCAGCCACTGTTCCATTAGGAATATACTCGTAAACAAGGAGGAGTTCTCGGCTGCGTCTTGAGGTGCATCCATACAGCTTGACAAGGTTCCGGTGTTCGAGACGAGTTAAGATCTCGACCTCGTTCATAAACTGCTCCACACGTTTGAAATTGTTCTCGTAAAGGCGCTTCACTGCAACTACACGGCCATCCTGTAGCTTACCTGATCAAGCAATTAAAAGAAAATATTACAAAACAGAATTAACAAGTATTTATTGGTGAGTGAAATTGGTAACTTGTAGAGATGCAAAAGGAAGTATTTTCAAACCATAGTAAACAGTGCCAAATCCTCCGTCTCCAAGTTCTTTAGCAGGATTGAAATTTTCAGTGGCTTCCTCTAATTCAGTATAGCTGAAGACCTGAACTCCAAAGTAAGTGCTCCCCTTATCATAGTCTGACTTTGAAGTAAAGGAAGGATACGAAGGGATGCTTTGAGATTGAGAGAGATTAGTTGAGGGAGTAGCAACGCTTTTGCTCGTGAGGGGTGTTGGAATCTCTTTGCTTTGAGCTAGTGCAGCAAGTTTCTTCTTCTTTCGTTGTATGAAAGAATATATATAGAATCCTATGAAAATTCCAAAAAGGATTGCACCTCCTACAGCAAGACCTGAAGATGAAACAAATATTGCTTAAATTTTCTTCTTTCTGCCATGATGTCATCAATATGTTATTAATGAAGTGAAGTATTACCTATTGCTATTTCCTTCTTTTTTCCTGAAACAGCCAAAAGATAAAGCAACATTAGTTGAAAATTGTATAACATATATAGAAATATTTTGTGGACTATAAAGTTCTCAATACAAAAAAAGGAAAAACAAACTCTTCATAGTACTTGTGTTTACTCTTATAATAACCTGTGGAATTTCCATGAATATCAAAACTAAGAAAACCCCTTACCCATATCAGGCTACAGATACAAATAGCATGTCACTGAAAACAAAGCAGGCCAAACATGGAGAAAGCCATTGTTCTTTCTCTCCAATATGCACAAGGAACTGATAGCATTACATTATAGCTCACTAAACAAATCACAATTTGTGACAACTTCTATCTTCTAAGAACAAAGTGAACGTATCTACGGGAAATTGATGAGCAGTGGACGGAATCAGCCATCTATCTAGTTGAATGCTCAGTACACATTAGCCATCTACTTGTCCTGTCTTCAGCTAGAACCTGGTGCCCGTTCGAAAAACCGAAGCAACCAAAAACTCATGTGCCAAGGCAAATGAATCTATGAAACGTTGAGATCCTAACACTAGTTAAGTAGTGCAATGGTCTACTAAAGAGGGACTAATAGCAAAACAGTGCACAAAAGGCTATTCCTCTGTTTGATGTCATCAAAATCAACATAGGAGTTAAGTAAGGTAACAAAACCAGAAGACAAAGAAGCCATTTTTGGATACTGAGCACTCAAAACACTACCTAAAAATTGCCCAAAACTACTATGAGTAAATTCTACAAAACCCATGAGAGGAAAAAATAAAAAAAATAAAAACTTCAAAGACTGCTGAAAATACCTGCTGGGTCACAAACCCGATTGCCGCAAATGCAAACGGGTTCGCTCGAACCCGTGTCAAACCCACACAGCCCATTTACACCAAGACACTGAGCGCATTGATTATCATAAGGGTTGGTATAGTTAACAGTGAAGCCTTCATTGATTGCTTCCTGAAACAGCGACCGATTGGCGACGAGCTTCGCAGCCGTGGTTTTGAGAATCGGCACCGTAATTCCAATCTCACACTTGAAAGTGCTCATAATCGGGTCGAGCGGGACCGGCCCGATCAAGTAGTAAGAGTCGTTGAAATCCCGATTGTTGTTGCAGTGGAACCAATTCGCGAGCTTCGGCGTAGTGATCGTCGAATTGCAGCCGTAGAAAATGGACACGTCCACGTCGTCGCTGTCGTTGTAAGCGAAGAACTCGGATTTCATAGTTGAGTTGAAGACCTTGTCTGTGCAGGTCGAGGTCCAGAGGTCTGAGCGGGCCAGCTTCAGATTCCGACGAACCGGGTCGAGTTGGAGAACTCGGTAACTCAGCGACAAGATGGTCAGCTCCGGCGAGTCGTTGACGCAGTTGATATGGAACTCCGGCGGGCCGCAGTAGGCCGGGCGGGACCCGCCGGCGAACGGGTACGAGAGGTTTCGAAGCGGGCCGCAGTCGAAGGCCCGGGAGCAGTTGGAGAGGTTTGCATTCGAGGGAAACGACTTCGTAACCTCGAAGGAGTAGAAGAAGAAGAGGAGGAAGAGTGGGTGCATTGGGGAAGGGGCGGGAAAACAACGGCGTTTGGGTGTGGGGTGGGCGAGGCGGGAAGTGGCTTAGAGAGTTGAGTGATGAAATGCAATGAGGTTTTGGTTTGATCATATGGGCGGCGTTAGTTGACTTGGACTGTTGTGGGTGGACACTGCACACAGCTTTTGAATATTTTGGAGGCTGCTGACCAAATAAATACGTCCCTATCTTTTTTACTTTAATGAATTTTTTCTGTTCAATAATTTATGGGTATTTTCGTAATTCAAGGAATTAAAATGATTATTTATTATTTATTTATTAGATTGAGTAAGACTCGTGGTCAACTTCAAAGGTATAGTCAACCAGTGTGAGCTCCAAACTAGCAATTTTTCGAAAGGGTAGTTGATGAATTGGAGGAGGGCTTTGAATGTGAAAAGAAGAAAATCTCATACAATTTTTGGGCAAGTTTTTCTTAGGTAGAAAACTTCTACTACCCCCCAACTTTATCTCGGGTAAATATATCAAATTATAGAGCACCTTTTTCTGAGGCAGAAATTATTATAACTTACTTTCGTTTGAAGATTCTTTAATATTTTTTAAAGATTTTTTTTGTTCGGAAGGATGATAATATGTTAAACTCACACACATTACACGGCTGCTACAACTCGAACCTAGCTACACTAGTAAAATCTTCGCTCAAAATTCCTAATTTCAATACATGAATTGGGTACAAAGTATTCATGATAGCACATGCAAATGGAATAAGACATTTTCAGTCCCTACAATACTACATATTTAATAAAAAAAGCCCAACCACCGCGCACATGAAATGAAAAGCTTTGTTTTATTGACGAACTATAGCTATTCTAAAGGTATATTATGAAAGAACAATCTTTATCAAGAATTCATTAAATGGACCTACTACCAAAAGCTAGTCCAAAAGCTAAACAAATTCATACAAGCTTCTAAATTCAGATAAGGTCATTATAGTAAATGTCGTAGCAGCCTAGATAACTCAGAAGTCAGAACATATGAAGCATAACACGTGGTATGAATCATTTGGTTTTGTTTTGACATGGAAATGGCCAGCCTAGCTAATTGGAGAGATGATATTAAAAGACCAGAAGAACCCAACTTGAAGTTTCCAGTGGAATGCAGCATGGGTTTTCCATGGCTATGTGAAAGGAATTTGGATGGAAAAGGAGTAGGAGTCAGAAAATGTTTGGTATAGGTCAAAGTTTAGGAGAGCACATAGTTTAGACCACAGTATAGAGAATTGCAAGCAGGAACACATAATTTGACATCACTGAACTCTAGGATAGAGAATTGAGCAGAACAATAAGGTCCCGTTTAGTGGTCGGGGTAAGGTTGTAAAATCTAATCCCATAAAATTTTGCTCCAATTGAATGTTAAACATTTGTCTACGTTGGTAGTTGTACCGAGGCCTTTTAAGTTGAAATCTCACACCTAAATGAGTTTATCCAGCCTTATTTCATCCGATGTATTAGACTTAATCATAAGTTGGGAACAATATGTGATTGCTTGGACTTAATAGTGGGCTCCGATAGTGCCTTATGGAACAATTGGTATTATGTTTGCATACTCTGCACTTATGTCTCTGAATTTGTACCAGAAGATGCAGCAGGAGCTGCAAAAGGACTCAATCTGCCACAAATCTTGCACCCATCTAAGAAAATTCTATTTGTCCATCAAAACTAACTTCATCTTCTTCTGAGACCCAACTCAAAAACCCAATCTTGCTTTGGCCCCTCACTTGTTTCTAGACCAGACTATATACTAAAAGAAAACATGGAGGAATCAAGAAGTAGTTAGCCTAAACGCTAGATTTCTATAAAACTCTCTAACCTGAGCCAAAGCCCTTTGGCATTGGTTGCTAAGTAGGAGAGTTTGCCATGGTGAAGGGATCGAAAGTAGCATAAAGATTCTAAACGACCCATATGTGACATGTAGGTGTTTGATAAAAAGCCCCAAAAACAAGGAATTAAGACCAAAAAGATTACAAGCGCATGCATACCTGCACAGTTTGAGGGATTAGGTCCATCCTTGCAATAGCAGGTGAACTCAGCTGTAGATGTATTGTACCCGCACTGACCACCAGTTCCGTTACATTGCTTACACAAGTTATTACTTGCATCCCATTTCAACCCAAACCCAGAATCAAGAACAGCAACTAGATTGTCCTTGGTGGAATTCATCGCCAAATTTTCACTCGCTGATTGCGAAACGAGGGCAGTGACGGTCGTGTTGCACGTTCCAAAGGTACTACTAATATTCGTGAGCCCAGAATTAGTGAGGTTTTGTGTGACAAAGTAATTGATGTAATTGGCAGTGCTGTTTATGCTGCAGTTGAACTGACTTGTTAGCTGAATTGGAAGAGGAATATTGAGTGGGGGGCAGTCATAGAACAGCAATAGTTCTTGAACATCTGAAGCATATTCTACATGGTTTACTTCTATTGTGGTGTTGCCAGGTGACACAGGACAAACGTTGTTCCAGTAGTCTGTCCTAGCGATTCTAAGAGTACTTGCACTTTGGTTGATGTCCAGGACTCGATAATCTTTGTCCTGGAATGAGATCACCGGGGCTTCCCCGGTGCAGTTCAACTTGAATTCCGGGAAGCCACAATAATTGGGCCGGCTTGATCCCCAAAAAGGGTAACCAATATTCGGAATATTTGCGCATTGAAACGAAGCGCTGCAGTTGAGGTATTGCTCATCATCCTCCGCACCCAAAGATCTTGGAATATACAATAGGCATATAGTACTTGTGATCACAAGGAGAAAAGAGATCTTTTGGAAGGGATAGAGATTCATTTTCAGAGAGAGAGAGAGAGAGAGAGAGAGAGAATACTATTCAAAGTTGTGGAAAAGAAGAGAAGATGAATGTGAATGCCTTCATCTCTGAAGTACGACTGTGAAGACAAATGGGTGGGGATGTGACGAAGTTAACGTTGGATTAATCTTATTTTTATGTTATATTTTTTACATATTAAAAATAGAAGGTTCTAGTGGAACGTTAAGAGTGCTTGTAGTCAATGGAAATTTTTTTGGGTGACCAAGTCTCTCTCTCTCTCTCTAACATAGTTATGGTCAACTTTGCAGGCGGTCTTAGCACGAAACTTGTATTGGTTGTATAACAAATCAGCACACCTTGATAGAAAATTAGCTAAGTTTTGAATTTGTGCACCTAAACCTCTCTGCACTTAGATTAATAAAACTATCTTATTTCCATGTTGGATGATCAAAGTCAACAAAGGGCGACTGACACCGACTTCAATGGGATTGTATAAGATGTCTGGTGGCTATATTTCTTAGGCTGCTTGGAGCATGTAATACGGCACAGTTTTGCAGTCCAGGGAGAGCAACAAAAAGGGTTGACTCTGGCACCATCAGGACTTCCAACTTGATGCTTGTGCCAAAGGATCAAAATGACCAGAACATGAACAATCTTAAGGGCTTAAGGTTCAATTGGTTGACAGAAATTTTCTATGCAAGTTTAATTGCTGAAGCTCATAGCAACATGATCTCTCACATAGTCGCAGACCTATTATTGTAGCTGTGAAGCTCAGCAGTTTCAATGTTCTGCTTCTGCGTGCAGATGGATTATTCCTACTTGGACATGGACTATATAGGACACAATTCCCAATTTCCGATCCGGGCTTTTAACAGACGAGCCTAATCACACACGTACGTAGCTATCTAAATTGTAATATTAAAAAAAAAAGAGTGGATGCTACCAATCCTGGAATTCAATGACACAAAAACTCCTAACATCTTCCTAGTCTGTAATTTATAAGAGAATGACGAGGGACAGACATACCTTGTGCTCCGGGTGCAGTTGCATTACATACGGCTGCATAGGCCTGATCCAGGCAAAAGCAACTGAATCCACCAGTAGCGTTAACCCCACACTTCCCCCCTGATTCCACACAACTGTTGCATTCAACATTATCAATCTCCAATCCCAATTCAAAGCCCTCTTCTACGGCTTCCTGGATAGTTGTTCGATTGGCCTCTAGAGCCTGAGCAGCTGTCGTAAAAACCGGAACACTGACCCCAGCTGCACAGACGCGGGTAGCAACTAGATCAACTGGGAGACTCTGGGTGAAAGACCAAACAGTAATGTCACCGTTGTTCGTACTGCAAACTTGGGAAGTATAGTTATCCCCCAGCCCCGGGATAGTTATAGTTGTATTGCACGCGTAGTAAAAGGTCATGTTTGTAAGCCCAGACGGATAATTAAACAGAGAGAAGTTGATGCTGGTGTTGACATAAGTCGGAGGACAGAGAGTTCCCCAATAGTCCTGCCTAGCAACTGTAACAGAGGGAGCACTAGAGTTCGTTTTAAGAATTCTGTAGTTGACATTCGACATGTTGATTATGGGGGCATTCTCTAGGCATTTGACCTCGAACCCCGGCAGACCACAGTAATTAGCCCGGTTTACTCCCCAAAAGGGGTATGAGATGCCTCCGATGCCACCGCAGTTAATAGCTTCGCTGCAGTTTGTATATTGTTCATTGTCCTGGCATAGACTTAACTCAATGTTGATCGAAAGAAAGGAAGTGATCAAGAGCAAGGGAAACAACGATTGAAGCAGAAGGGTATGCATGTTTTTGGAGGAAAAAGCTCAGAGTGAGGGACAAGGAAACTCAAGCATCAATGAAATGGGGAAGCTCAAGGATTGCAATGAAAAAGGAATAAGCGTCCTGTTTTATTTTAATATAGTTGTTGTGCCAAGTCTTAAGCTATCGGCCTTTGAAAATTTCAATGAAGTTTGGTAAGGGAAACAGAAGCCTATCTCGTTTTCTCTGTTTCTTTTCTCATTCTTGTTTGAATTTCTTGGCACACCAGCCAATCCCAAAAAGGCATGCAATAGTTTTAATTAGTCTACTTCCATGTTTGTTTATATTTCTAATTAATTTCCTAAACCACTCAGATGATGTGGAGGTGTTCTCATGAGGGCTGGAAAATATGTTATTCCAGAAGCTAGACAAAGTCAATAGATGATGGAGTTTTGGGACAGGTACCACCAAAGACCTTTAGCAAAAGACTTATAATAAGTACAATGCAAAGAACATGGCAGGAAGAATGTAATAGTTACAAAAGATTCCATGACTTGTTTGTTGGACAAGGATAACCTCAGAGCAACAAACATTCAAAAATATCTCAACCATTTCATCTCAAATGGAGAGGGAGGACGTGAGGCCAGGCACTGGCGGCAAACCGAGTGACCCCTCCTCCACCCTCTACCACCCTACGCACCGGGGACGAATAAAGGTCCCTTTAGCTTGAAGGATTTTAGCAAGTTACGGTTTTGGTTAAAGATGAGGCAAATCTTTAACCAAATCCCTAATGTGTTCCTTAATAGTGACAAAATAAGGCCAACTTCCTACCAACCTGATTAAGATATGAAAGGGACAAGCCATCTAACTTAAAGAAAATTCAGCACTACTTTGGCCACTAATATATATATATGGCCCCAA